GAACTAGTAGTTTTGCTGTGGCAGCCTTAGTGCCATCCAACTGCTAACACAAGCCATGCAGAAACCTACCCGTCACTGCACTAACACGCACGGGGTTGCAGAGAAAGGTGTGTGAGGAACCCAGACGTGAGCCTTTCACTGCTTTCCTCCATTGTTTTTAAAAAAACCTTTCCTTAGAATCCTGTAAGCCTATACAAGAAAGCATCTAGCACTCTCAATGAAATAAACCCGCCATCCTTCACAGCCAGTAGCAGAGAAATGTGGTAAAGGGCGGCTGGGCTTCCCCAAGTGGACCTCCTTCCCCACTCTGCCCGTGGCCTTCTCAGGCACTGGAAGAAGGTCATGTCAGTCAACTTGGTCCATGTCGCTATGATGCTCTGCTCCTTGTTTGCTCCTGTCTCTACTCAGAGCTTCCCAAAAGCCAAGATTATATCTTATTCATCTCCGAATCCCCAGCACAGTGTATAGAACCAAGCATTTGCAGGCCCTGAGTAAGTATTTACTGAATAAATAAGTGAATGGGGTTTACAGGCTCAGCCATTGTTCCTGTGTGCAATGTGATGGTTTTAAAATATGTCCACAAATTCTTTGACACGTCTTTCTTCAAAAGGGAGAGCCTTATCCCCTCCCCTTGAATGTCAGACAAACTTCGTGACTCATTGCAAATGAACAGAATGGGGTAGAACTGACGCTATGTGTCTTCTGAGATTAGGTCATAAAAAGGATGGCTGCTGCCTGGTTCTCATTCTCCTATATTGCTGGCTCTGGAGGAGCCAGAAGCCTTGTCATGAGGATATTCAAGCAGCCTGTGGAGAGATCTAGGTGGAGAGGAATCAAGATTTCCTGCCAATGGCCAGCACCAACCTGCCTGCCATGTGAGTGAGCCACCATGCAAGTGGAGCTCCTAACCTCAGCCAAACCTCAGGTGACTGCGGCCTTACGACAGGCTCTGAGTCAGAACCACCCAAACGAGCCACTCCTAGATTCCTAATCCACAGAAACTGTGAGAGATAATGCTCATGGCTATTAAAGCACTAAGTTTTAGAGCAATCTGTTATGAAGCAATAGATAATTAATTAACATAGCAACCTTGGAGGATTTCGGTGTTTTATAAGGGTGTTGAAAGGATTTTCTTAATGACAAAAAGTTAGTTTATAGTTACATTGTGCTTATAATAAAAATTTTGTAATAAGGAGTCTTCTACAGAATACAACCATAAGATGAGTATTGATATGCAAATCTGAATATTACATAGATCAAATTATGCTCCCTTAAATTTCACAACTATAGTCAATAAAATGTTGAGATATGAAATAGAAAAATACTATAATATACTCCTTTTTTGAGATTTTTTTGCTTTTAAAACCTATTTATTGCTTTAAAAAATTATAGCTTTTAAAAACTATATATGATATATTCATAGAAAAAGTCTAGAATAATATCTATCCTAGTCTTAACAACTTTTTTTCAAAATCTACATTATGTATATACTATTATTGTTCTATTTCCTAGCTTAAAAAAGAAAAACAAAACTTTTTAGGGTGGCAGCCATGTTGCATTTCCAGCCAACATCAAGCATAATGAGTGGCACATAGTAGGTGCTCAGTGGAAGTGCAATAGGGCGGGGTGCCGTAGCTCACATCTATAATCCCAGCACTTTCGAAGGCCAAGGTGAAAGGATCATTTAAGCTCAGGAGTTTGAGGCTGCAATGAGCTGTGATCATGCCACTGCACTCCAGCCTGGGTGACACAGGGAGAACCTGCCTCTAAAAGGAAACAAAAAGGGGAGTCGGGGAGGCAACTGATGTCTTTTAGATATAGATTCTGCCTACTGGACAGTAGTTCTATAATGGGATTCCAGGATAATGTAAGCCCAAAAAGCTCAATGATGTGAAAAGGTAGCAGTCAATTTTCACAGGAAATAGGCTACTAAGTATAGGAAATCATTTTTATGTTGTATTCTTAGGACACAGTAACCACTTTTCTCTTTGAAACTATTTTGAGTGATTTATTATAAATTTATAATGGCAGTTGTGAATACCTCTTGCTCTTTTTTTTTTTTTTTGGCATGAGAACAGAGTCTGTTGATTGCCCTGATGCTTAAAATAGTTTCTAAGTGTCCTCATAATAGCATGTCACCTGTAAACAGGTTTCAAGCCAATGCAAATTAACAAATGGTGAACAGATGGACTAAGAACTGACTTTTGTCAAGAGAGAGTTAGCAACAAACACTTTTTGGCTCCAGTCTTATGGGACCATTAGAAAGTCTTTTACTTCTCGCCAAACATCTTGCCTCAGTAGACAATCCATGCAGGGAAAATGACAAGTTACAAGGTCCGTTAGACTTTAGAGAGCTGAAAGTTGAGATTTGCAGAATCACCAAATCAACACATGAGAAACAACAGATAGAATAACAGCCGTTAAGAAGCGTTCTGCCAAATAGTAAAACCTCTGGCTTGCATCACTAAAAGCAGCTGTCCCTGTAGTGAGCTTCTTTTTGAAAAACATGGCCCCTATGCGTGCAAGCAGCAGACACAAGCTACTTGTCGAGACTGGCTGGTTACGTTCCTCCTATCCTGGAAGCAAGTGTGAACTGTGAAGAACGCCTGAAAATCACGGAAGTGGTGGCAGCTAGAGAAAGGATCCCCAGAGCAGTCACCCCTTGGGATCCCGCCGGCTCTTCACTGGCCTTTCTCCTCCTCATTCGTCAAGCCTCTGCCTCACGTTGGCTCCTCGGGGAAGCCTTTTTTTGATCACCCTATTTAAGCAGTATCCCCCACTCCCACACCTTCCCCGACTCTGTAGTCCCTTCCTAGCACTAAGCATAACTACAAATTGTGGCATTAATTTATTAATTTGTTAAGGGGGGCTTTTCTGGTCTCCTCCCGCCCCCGAAATGAAAAGCTTAACAAAGATGGGACAGTGTCTGTCCTGCCCATGTTTATATTCCTAGGGCCTAGAAACATGCCTGACACATAGTAGGTACAATAAATATTTGCTAACCAAACAAAATGAGACCTTGAGCAAAGGTAAACAATCAAGTCATATATGCAAACACTCCCTTGGACTGGAAAAGAATGCTGTTTGTAACTGAGGATGTAAACAGAGGAAGGTACACGAAGTGAGCAGGACAGGCGAGGGAATGCCTCTCAGGCGTCTGGCCCTCCCAGAGGAGTGTGCATACTGACAAAACAGGGACTGATGTGCCCACATTTCTCATTCCACATCATTGAGTGAGCCTTTGCACTCACCTGCTAGGGCTTCTAATACAAAAGAACCCAATAGCTTGAATGAACCAAGTGGATCAATCAAGTGTGGCATATTCAAAGGAAGACTACACTGCAACAGAAAAGGGCAACTGGATGAATCTAACACATATGATGTTAAGTGAAAAAAAGCTCATACTTGGGAGGCCGAAACGGGTGGATCACGAGGTCAGGAGATCAAGACCATCCTGGCGAACACGGTGAAACCCCGTCTCTACTAAAAAATACAAAAAACTAGCCGGGCGAGGTGGTGGGCGCCTGTAGTCCCAGCTACTCAGGAGGCTGAGGCAGGAGAACAGCGTGAACCCGTGAGGCGGAGCTTGCAGTGAGCTGAGATCCGGCCACTGCACTCCAGCCTGGGCCACAGAGCCAGACTCTGTCTCAAAAAAAAAAAAAAAGCCGGGCGCGGTGGCTCAAGCCTGTAATCCCAGCACTTTGGGAGGCCGAGACGGGTGGATCACGAGGTCAGGAGATCGAGACCATCCTGGCTAACACAGTGAAACCCCGTCTCTACTAAAAAATACAAAAAAACTAGCTGGGCGCGGTGGCGGGCGCCTGTAGTCCCAGCTACTCGGAAGGCTGAGGCAGGAGAATGGCATGAACCCGGGAGGCGGAGCTTGCAGTGAGCTGAGATCGGTCACCGCACTCTAGCCTGGGGGACAGAGCAAGACTCCGTCTCAAAAAAAAAAAAAAAAAAAAAAGGGGCACATAAAAAAAAAACACAGTGCGGTATTCCACTTATATGAAGTTCAAGGACAGGCAATATTAACTGTTTAAAGAAGTCAGAATGGTGTTAAACTTGGGAAGGAGGGCAGCACGGGTATAGACAGAGAACAAAGAGGAGGAACCCTTATGGGATTCTGGAAGTGGTGGCTACGTGGATATACACAAGTGTGAGAAAATCATTAAACTGTATGCTCTGTGAAGCTTACTGTATCCGTTATCCTTCCTAATGGGAAAAAGAAGAGCACATATATTACTATTTTTAAACATGAACAAATGAACCTAGCATTTATTCTAATCTCAGCTCTAGCAGGTTCTCTAGGTGGACTGCAGCTTAACCAAAGGTGCTCCTCAGCTGTCTCATTTATAAAATAAGGATAACTGCACTCATATTCTACCACCTTTGGGAATGTGATAAGGAAACAAATAATAAGCCGTGAGGTCTCTTAAAATCCTAGGTAGAAAAGTCACATACAAAATATGTAAAATAAACTGCATTATAGCTGTTTCACAAAGATCTATGCAAATTATGTTACCATCATGCTTGATTTCTAATCCTAATAGATGCCCTTTTAAAAGAAAGAAATAATTCAGGGCCGGGTGTGGTAGCTTATACCTGTAATCCCAGCACTTTGGGAGGCCAAGGCAGGTGGATCACCTGAGGTCAGGAGTTCGAAACCAGCCTAGCCAACATAGTGAAACCCCATCTCTACTAAAAATACAAAAATTAGCTGGGCATGGTGGTGTGCACTTGCAATCCCAGCTACTTGGGAGGCTGAGACACGAGAATTGCTTGAACCTGACGGGGTAGGGGAGGGCAGAGGTTGCAGTGAGCCGAGATCATGCCACTGCACTCCAGCCTAGATGAAAAAGCAAAACTCCGTCTCAAAAAAAGGAAGGGAGAAAGGGAGGGAATTTTGAAGAAAACAGTAACTTTCCACTACCCCGAAACAAGTATAAAGTAAAGAAGTTCACTCAGGACTAAAGTAATTTTTCAAACCCGTCACTCACTGAGGTGGTAGAACAAGAGTTGTGGGCTGAGCCTTTGGTCTACGTTTGGCAGATACTCCCATCTGATTAGCGGAGCGCTTCAACGACTGCTGATTCAAAAGGCCAGATGCTAGTCCTGCATGGTACTGCAACTGCAGAGAAAAACAAAACAAAAGGGAAAGAAAAATAGCTTTTGGTAAAAGCAGGACAAATGGTATTAAACTAGCAATACTTGATAATCTTATCCCCTTAGAACATTTTAAGTAACTTCAAATACAACTGCTCACATTCTGCTTCAAGGAATTTATCCATAAAAAGATAATCACACAAACAGGAAACGAAACAAGAACAAGACTGTTCATCACAGCATTACCTCATGATGAAAAACTGGAAGCAGTCAAAATGTCCAACAAATGACTGTGAAATTGATTAAAATAGAGAAAGAACTTCACAATATCATTTTGTTGAAAAGAAAAAAAGGTTCCATTGTAAACAGAGAGGTACTTTAAAAAATGTTCTCTAAAACGCTAACTGTATTTTTCGGCAGCAGAATTCGACTGATTTTTACTTTCTTATTTTTCACTACTATTCACATGCTTTATGTAAATGGTTTTAAAGCCTATGTAATTTTTTCAATAAGGAAATCCAGAGGTTTTCCTTAGAGACAAAGTTAGTTCTGGGAAGTCTTGCTACCGTCATATCTTGCTTATAATAAAAATCATAGAATTTGTAGTCTACTGCAGCACACCATGACCACGACCATGGCTTATCATACATAGATTCAAACATACTGTGAGTCTGCATTCAGAACCACGGAGCTATCTTCTAAATGGTTAAATTACAAATATCAATCATAAGAACAAGCTCATGAATATATCTTACAACAATGTATACAAATGGATATAAGCTCATTGGAGAGAACAGAGTGGAGAAGTCAATTTCAAGTCCATGGACGTGCAACTGGAACAATATCTAAAGCAGCAGCATGCTTAATGTGTCTGGTGCCAGCATCCTTTGCTTGATCCCTAGACAAACTGCTGAGCTTCACGGTGACTTAGGATAGATAACTTTACTTCTCTATACTTCAATTTATTATTGGGAAAGATAAATGATACTGCCCAGTTCTAAACCAAATAAGACTTTGAATTATAATTTATGTAAAATATAATACACACATTTTACGTGAACAGTTTAATGAGTTTTGACAAATGTATATACCTGTGTAACTACCATCCCAATCAAGATAAAGAAACTTTCCATCACTACAGAAAGCTCATTTGTGCCCTAATGCAGTCAATCCCCTTACACCTACCATCAGGAAATTCTGATTTAAAATATAACTCATCATTCTCACTCCTTGCTAAATGAAGCTTATAACCAATTTGACGTATGACAATAACTTTTAGCTTCCCTTTCTAATCCCATACTTTTGTATTTTAGATCATGAGTTGTCATCAATATCGCTATGATAAAATATCCTTGAAAGGTATCCCAATTGTGAGCAGATGTAAATAAAAGATTCACATGTGAAAATGCCAAGCTAAGAACTTGGATAGAGACCATTTATAACATCCAATGTGTTTCTTCCTCTCTTCTCAAATTAAGCAAGGTCTTTCAAACATTTATTTAGAATTATCTAAACATACAAATAGTAATTCATTCTAAAGCTCTGAATCAATTTCTTCTCAAAACGCTCTTCCAAGGCACAGATTTTCTTTGCCGAGTCAGCTGCATTACAGCTCACAGTAATGAAACTGGCGACCACCATATAAAAGGGGCTGGGCCTTGGATGCAAAGGGCAATAACGTTCTGAAAAATAAACAGCCTCACCTAAAGCCACAGGGCTGCCTGCAAATAGAGCGCAGAGAAAACAAAACCAACTGAAATGATCTGCTGCTGGAATGTGGCTATAAAAACGAGGATATCCAGTGATCCAGTACGACTGTGTTTGGAGCATCCATACCACTTTTTAACAGGCTCTTGATTTACTTGGTCGATTTGCTGTGGGAGCCTTATGGGTGCCCAACACAAGACAAACATACATCACATTCATAATAAAGATGGAGCTCTTTTCAGGGTGGAAAAGGGGTGGGGGTATCATAATTTGGCTCTAACAACTCATCTTAGACCAATGAATTTTGCTCAAATTTGTTTTTTTCCTACAGATTTCTTAAATGGGAAATCAATGGAGGCAAGGGACAGTACAAGTTTGAAAGACAATGTTTCAAAATGTCAGCTACTTGGGTTTCGATCTTCCCTGCCAGAATTTGCAATGAGTGCAATATGCATGGGGCTTTATGGAATTACAGGGAAAGACAGCTTGGCAGGGGCCTCCTCCTGGCTCAAGGAATCGTCTCTTCTTTTGGCTCTCCTCCTTTGTATTTATTAGGGTCCATGCAAGCTCAGCCGTTCCAGCCCTGCTGACTCTTTGAGTGGAAGAGTCCTGCTAACTATGCAGAGTCGCAGGGTGATTTTGCCCACCTGGTATCATTTTGATCATTTGCTCAAACAAACAAACAAAAAACCCAAAACAGCAGAAATGTATGCTAACTGCTATCTGTCTTTTAAAGCGTTCCTTTGAAACCTCAACCATCTTGGATGCTCTCAATATACAGTGCACCTCTGATAGCACACATAGGTGGAAGGACTCTTCTTCCCCCAAAACAAAATCTGCCCTTGAGAGCTGACTCATAATAATTAAGCAGCACTTGTTAATCATATATATGTATCCCGGTTTCCAGGAACACGGCTCTGACTGTCAAGATCTATAGGGGCCCATTAAATATTTACTGAACTACCTTTATAATGGGAGAAAAGGTCAAAGTTAATAAAACTGACAGGCAGCTCCTGTCCAACTGGATTATACATTATTCAAGCACCAATACTCCATTCCATGGAACATAGTTTAGATCTGAAGAGGCTCTTGGAAAATGTTCACTCAGCCAATGGTTCTAAAACAGAAGAAGGGAGTTCAGAGTGAATCTACAAATTAACATTAGAAACATGTAACTCCCCAAAATACTGCCATAAGTTCTCAATTACAGGTTCTGTAATATTTTCTATAAAAATATATTTCAAGAAACATACTTATCTCCAAATGTCTGTAGCATGGAAACAACTCTATTTCAAAAAGCAACTTATTAAAAGTTCTAATGTGATTTTTCTATCGAAGATCGTTTCTCCACTAACCAGCAGGAATAAAAATGAAAGAAGGAGAGAAATGATCTATTCTTTTAACTTCCATATCTGACAAGTGTGGGGAATGGGAGTGTTGATGTGGTTGGTGAGTTGGAGGGGAAGGTTCGTGACTTACTGTTAAGTTACCACTCCACAGGAACAGCCATTTCCGTGTTGCAGTGTTCTCTGAATTTTTTAGAGTATTTCTCTCAGTTACAATTTTGCTATCTATTAATTTCCACTTTCTATTTTCTATGAATGACCTAGGATTTTTCTATCAGTTCTCAACCTGAAGCCCTTTCTAACCAATTACATCTACTAATTACCGCCAGACCTGAGAAAGTTTTAGCAATTAATAATGATCTGAGGAAAGACCAATTAAAATGAGGAAAACTTTGATTTCCTGAATCGTTTTAAAATAACGCTGTTTTAGTCATATTGAATACATAAGAGGCTCCAAGTTGTCAGGCAGGGTCCTGACGAAATGTAAGTGGGAGAGGAAGGGCCTCTGTAATCAGCAGCCTCTCTGGAAATGTGCTCCTGGGCTTTGCTACTACCACACTGGGTGACCTTACGTATCTCCTGTCCCTCTCTAGAAAATATGCACGACATTTTCTCTGAGGGCCCACCAAACTCTAAAATTTGATTCCTTTGTATTTCTAAAGGTAGAAAGGTATTTGACATGAAGGAATATCCCTGCAATATTAATACAAGAGACTTAACAAACCTTTTTCTGTTGGATAGCCAAGGTCTTTAAAGAATCCTCTTTTGAAGAGTCCAAACTATTGGGAGTCAAAATTCAATTAGCTTTAAAATATGCTCAAATTACAAATAACATATACTGGAAGGAAATGATATAAAAGGCAATGATAAAAACAGGATTCAAACGCAAAGTTTCTTTTTTTTTTTCTTTTTTGAGACGGAGTCTCGCTCTGTCACCCAGGCTGGAGTGCAGTGGCCAGATCTCAGCTCACTGCAAGCTCCGCCTCCCGGGTTCACGCCATTCTCCTGCCTCAGCCTCCCGAATAGCTGGGACTACAGGCGCCCGCCACCTCGCCCGGCCAGTTTTTTTGTATTTTTTAGTAGAGACGGGGTTTCACTGTGTTAGCCAGGATGGTCTCGATCTCCTGACCTCGTGATCCGCCCGTCTCGGCCTCCCAAAATGCTGGGATTACAGGCTTGAGCCACCGCGCCCGGCCTCAAACGCAAAGTTTCTGACTTAAATCTTGGGTTCAGGAAATGAGATGAGCAATGACCCCTCCCCCATTCACTCTCCACTTGCTTGATGTCTTCCGCAGTGTTCTGAACGCTTCTACCGGCCCCAAATATTCATAGGTAAATGTTTTGCACTGGACCAAAGTTTGAAAAGAGAATAGAAGGAAATTCATCAAACCGATCATGTTCAATATACTAATTAAGCCAGTGGCATTCAATTAGGCCTAGTACCTAAAAGTGTATGTTGGAACCTCCCTGGGGTCCATGCTACAGCATCCCATCATATGCAGCATTGCTCTACCCTTGCCATCTGGCCCGAATCCCACTTTAAGAGAACCTGACATTTGACAATCTCAAAACGTATAAGCCAGATCAATCAAGATTTGATTCTTCTCACTATGAAAATCACTATTTCTTTCTCAAAATTCACCAAAGGCTTTTTTAAGAGTGAAGGGGAAAAAAAGAGCTCTCCTGGCCATAAGTTATGATTCACTTTATTTTTTTAAATAACTTTGCATATAATTACATATAAGGGCAAAGAATGGCACAGAACTAAGTTATAATAAATTCTGTCTGGCTTAGACCGGAGGACCCACAGGAGGGCAGAAGAGATCAAGGGGGTAGGGAGCCCCACCATCTCCTCTGCCAGTCACTCTAGGCCAATTTCCTTCTCCAAGCACAAAGCTCCTGTCTGTACCGGGAAATGCGCCCAGAAAAGGCAGCCTTGTGTTATTCCTGGGTCTGGGAGTGAAGCTGCCAC